CATAAAATATTATATCATAATATATTATATTTTATTATATTATAATATATATATTTATTTATATTATACCATGTTTATATATTTATATTATATTATATTATTATATTATATTATATTATATTATATTATATTATATTAATATTATATTATATTATATTATATTCTATTATAGTATATTATTATATTTTATGATATTATGTTTTTATTATATTACATTATATTATATTATATTGTATTATATTGTATTGTATTCTATTATATTATATTATAGTATATTATATTATATGATATTATTTTATATTTTATATATTTATCTTATATTATATTATATTTCATTATATTTTATTATAATTATATTATAGTTAGTATAGTTTGTTATATTATATTATATTATATTATATTATATTATAATTATATTATATTTATTATTTTTTTATTTTATATTATATATATTATATTATATTATAATATATATTAATTTAATAATATATTATATATATTATATTATATTATATTATATTGTATTATGTTATTATATATATGTATGTATGTATGTATGTATGTATATGTATGTATATGTATATGTACATGTATATTATGTATATGTATATGTATATGTATATATATGTATATGTATATATATATATATATATATATATATTATATAATAATATAGATATATATCATCCCTCAAGTTCGAACATTCCTCTCTTGTCTATGCAGAAGCACGGTTTCTGAAAATCGTGGGGGTCTGGTGTATCGTCCAGTTTTTCTGGTTGCTTCAAGTTTTGGCTCTGCTCTGACATCGAGCTCTGGTCCCTCTGGTTCCGTCGCGGCCGTTGAGGAATCGCCTTCCCTTGGAGGGGCGGGGCGGAGTCCGCCGATTGCGGCCATCAGGGCGGTGGAGCTTTTTCAGGCGCGCCAGAGCGGGCCCCGACTGAGGGTGGGGCTTAAACGCCCGCGACTCGGGGCGGCCGGGGGGGAGGGGGGGCGCAGCGCAGCCGCGCCAGGAAAGAGACGAGGCGCCGAGGGCGCGAAAGGGAAGGAGGGGCGCAGGCTTGCGCCGGCGGGGCACCCGCCAGAGGAGGCGAGCGGGGGCCCGCGCGGCGAGGGACGCGCCCGCGCCCGCCTCGCGCGCGAACAACAAAACAAGCAAGAAACAACAAGTCACGCTTGCCATGGGCCAGGACTCGCTGGCAGACGCTTTGGCACGTCGCGTTGGATGCGTATTTTTTAATGCTCGTTGCTCCCCGTGCCTGTTGCAGTCCTCGCCGTCGTGGCCGCAGGGCGTGGGTGGTGCTTCGACTGTTTCCGATGCTTGTGGTCGTGCTCGTTGTGGCGCCTGCGGCGGGGGCCGCGCTGGCCGCCTCTGGTGCTCGTGCTCATCGGTTGTTGCGTGGTTGGTGTGGGGCGTGGGTACGGCGGTGTTCGCGGCGGTCGTGGCTGTTGCGTCGGTTGTGCTTGTTGTGCTTGTTGTGCTGGTCGTGGTCGCTGTAGTGGGCGGCGTGGGACTGGATGCCTTTTTTTCTTAGTTTTGCTTACGGGCGTGCTGGTAATGGTGTGTCGTTCTTGGCATACCTGTCACCGTGCTGCCTATGTGGTTGTTCTAGATGTGTTTTCTCGGGGGGCTTCTGTTCGCGATCGTGGCTGTGGTGTTCCTGTTCGTTTTGTCTGTGGTCGCGGTGGTCAGGCAGTGGTGTTTATGGTGCCAGTATCTGTGTTCGTGGCTGCCCTCGCGCTGGCCGTGGCCCTTTCTTGTGTGGGTGTTGCGTATGGCGCCCGTCGGCGCAGTGCGCGTGGCGCCTTCGGGTGTGCTCTTGGTGCCGCTGGCTGCGGTGCCTGCGCTTGTGTGAGCGGTGGTGGCCTCATTGTGCCAGGTGTGATCAAGTTTGTGTTGCTGTTGGCCGTTGTAATATTGTTGCGGTCCCCGGCTCCGCGGTGCTTGTGGTGCTCGTCGTTGTGTGCGCACGGTCCTGGCGTTCATGGTGGCGCTCGTGGCCTACTGCGTGCTCGTGGTGTTCGCGTCGGTGCGTGTTGTGCTCTGCTCGTTGTTGCTGTGTTTCCCGTGCTCGTCTTGCAGCTGCGCGGATTCTTTTAATCGCCCCTCTCGTTGGAGGTTGTAGTGGCCAAGCTTGCGGTGCTCACGGGGCCAGCGTTGGTGGGACTTTGCCTCCGTGCGGGTCGGCGCGTGAGGGCCTCCGCGCCGCTTGCACATCTCGCTTCCAGACCTACGGGCGGGTTGCTGTGGCACTGTTCTCTGGTTGCCCCGAGCACTTGCGCTGCCTCGGCGACGCCTCCAGCCACACGATGCACCTAATTGCTGCTGGTTTGGCCGCCTACACCCAGTGTTGCTGTCTTTGCCCGACCAGTTGCTGTTTTCACTCCTTTGTCGCCAGTGGGCTACCAGCCTGCTTCCACTGGGCCGGGCTCCCCAGGCCTCGGTCGCAGCAGTGCTCGCGCGGGCTTGCGCCAGGCACAGCAGCAGCCGCCCGAGCTTTCTGGCTGTCTTGCCTGGTGGAGTTCGACCGCCGCTTTTGGTCCGACTGCGTCCGCTGCCCCGATCGGGTTGTTCATTCTTGTCATTTCATTTCATACCGCTTGCGGCGACGTCCGGTCCGGCGCCCGCGCCCGCGCCCGCGGACGCGCCGCGCCGTGCCGTCAGTCCCCGCGGCGGCTCACTCAGCCCTCACCTGGACGCCGCGGACAGTGGAGAGAGCCGCTAGGTGGCCCCGGTTTAGTGAAGGTCTTTCACTCCCCATCGTTGGCCCCCCCAAGAGTGTGAGTGCTCACCAGACCGGGCCGCCCATGGGCCCCGGCTCACACCGGGGGCGCACCTGCGTCGCCCCAGGGCCTGGTCAGCGGTGCAAGTGCAGGCGTCGCGGGGAGACAGCTAGCAGAAGCAGCAAGCGACTGAGCTCCGCACCCTCCCCCTTATGCCCAGGGGCCAACGGTCAGACATGGCGAGGGCATAAACCACAAGGTGAAAGGCAACCAATGGGTCCAAGGGAAGCTGTGCACGCCCATTGCAACCCAGAGGTAGCACGAGGTCAACAGACCGGCGGGAGCCCGGTGAAACGGCTCGAAGAGACGGGGAACGGGGGCAGAAGTTCCCACAAGCAGGGGCCGAGCGCGACCAAAATTGCCCCGTGGCCAGCAGGGCGGACTGGCCTGGCCCCGTCAGACCACCCAAGGAAAAAGCACGAAGAGAGGGCGAAGGGGGGAAACGGGAGGAACGAAGCAGGGCACACTAATACGAGGCGCGGGGCTGTACTGGCGCGTAGCAGGCGGCGGCAGCCAGGGACCTGGCCGCTCACTGCGACTCACTATGAGCCCGTGCCGGGTGGCTGACTTCACCTTGCCACCCCACACCACCCCCTGGGCAACGACGGGGGCCCTCCCCACCCACCGGGCCCTGCCCAGGTGCGGCGAACGCGCCTGGCGCCCCAGGGCGTGCAATGCAGAGGAGGCGGAGAAAAGAAAAACGGGGGCGGGAGCAGGGCTTTCCACCCGAACACCGAGAACTGGGCTAGACGCAGCGCACGCCCTTTGCACCCCAAAAGCCGCGCGCGGTCTACAGGCTGGCGGAAGCGAGGGGAGGGAGGCAGAACAGCAGCAGCGAGAGGAGAGAACGCAAGCCGTACGCGCCATCCGGGTTACCCCAAGTGCGCCCTGCAAATCGCTACAGCAACATAGCGGACTTGTGCCACGCGCGTCTCTCCAGGCACCCCTTTCCCTAAACACTTGGAACAAAGCGAGCTCGCGCGCAGAGGGGGCAGGGATAGCAATAGCCGGCCACGACGCTGCCTGGTGACCATCTAAGGCGGGACACTGGAGGAGGGCGTGGGCCACGTCAACATCCTCAGCTCCGCACGCAGCACACCGCGCCAAGCGATGGGGCAGGATCGGGGCGCCCAGCACCGGGGAAGGCGAACACCCAGACACACGCACAACAGCCCAAAGCCGGACCATTTGCCACGTGGGTGGGCCAAAATCAAGGTTCAGGAACTCCGCGGGGCGCTGGGCAGGCGAGGTCTGGAGACTAGAAAAAGGGCGCTCGAGGGCAGGCAGAACCACTGAGGCCGCCTGCTGAAAAGCTGCCAAGTCAGCCGCCACCAGGGCAGGTCGAACAAAACCTAGCTTATACTGCCTCAGAACAGCCCTACGTGACCCCGAATCCGCCCGCACAGCATCCAGAGGGTAAGCTTCGAAGAGTTGGCCTTCAGTGACCCGGGGGATGGGCGGAGAGAACGCCGCCATGTGAGAGGAGACTTTTCTTGCCCAGGTGCTGACTGTGAGTCCCTCAGCGAGGTCCAACATGGCGCGAGCAGGGTGCGTCCCTGCTGGAGCTGAGCGCGGGCGAAGGCCATGATTGTGCGTTCCGACATTTTGGTCTCCAGCCGACGGCGCCAGCCACATGGGGCAAGCACGACCTCAGCTGGGAGAGGGGGGCCACAAGCGCAACCCAAGAGGCGGCGGGCCCATGCTGTCTGCATGGAATTAAGCTTCCACTGCGCACGTGCCGCGCAGAAGAGGAGGGGGGCAGGATACAGAATTGCCGACTCAACGCGGGCTGGCACCAGGGCACAGATGACAGGCAAGGCAAAGCCAACCGTCTTCCCAAAAAAGAGGACACTCTCAAAAAAACTGCGCCCCCTGGCCAAAGTTGCCTTCAACAGGGGAGCGACTGACAATTCATTGCCAAAAAGGACGCCCAATATTGCTTTCTGAGAGACCACAGGGCGCCTAACATCCCTCGGCGGGGCGCTGCCACACAGGGCAAGAGCCGCGGTCTTCCCTGAGCCGTAGTTAAAACGCGCATGGGTGCGGAAAGCGTATCGCGAGCAGGCTGACTCGGGCTCCGACGACACGATCGCGCGCAAAGCGCCGGGGGAGGAGCACGCGACGGTCAAGTCGTGCACGAATTGTAATGGAGGCAGATGCCACGCCCCCAACAGATCCATTAGGTTCCCGCGGTCAGCTTCCGACGGCAGCCGGGTCGCCTAACTCCCGGATCCTCGCGCAAGCGCCAGCGTGAGGTGGGTGCTCCGCAGCAGCCGCCGCCGCCGCCCCCGCAGCCGCCGCATGGAGTTCAGCCGACGCACAAACCATGGCCTGGCGGCCCTCCACCGGCGCTCCGAGAGGCACCGCCAGAAGGAAGTGCGGAGGAATCCATGCTGCCGATCCACATGGCAGCCTAGGCCCCACCTCGTGGTAGAGCCATTTCAGCTGAGCGTTGAAAACTGGAACGCTAAACCGCCGACCTTGGGCAGTGCCGCCCCCGAGTTCAAAGGACGACGACGCGAGGCTCTGCAAAGCCACGAATTGGCGGTCGGAGGCAATGAAGTCCTCTAGAAGCAACGAGTCGGTACCTCGTACTCCCGCCAAGTGGGCGTTGATGAGCATGGCCAGGTGGGACGCCACATCGAAGGCCCACTGCAGGTCAGTGACCGCCCAATAAATTGGCAGGCCCTGGGCCACTCGGCACTGGGCATGGAGGAGGAGGGCAATTAGGAGAACCAACGGATCACCTACCCCACCCTGCTGGGCCACCCCACAATATGCCTCAAGCCGACGCCTATTCCGGGAGGTCCATAGGCCATCCACCACCGATGCCATCAGGGTGGAGATGGAGATGGGCAGCAGGCAGTTGAGTTGACGTACCACGCGGGGCCCCGACTTATGCAGGGGTGAGATCTGACGGGCCGACCACAGATTGCTGGTGAGACCGCAGTGCCGAGAGATATTCGCCACTGCCCTTGTAAGCCGCCAGCCCATTGGCACAGGTGACTTCAGGGACGCGTCACACTTCTTCAAAGCAGCCGACGTCGGCTTGAGAGCATCAAGCATGTCATCCACCTCGCGCATAGTGTACAACGGCTCCTGCGCGCCAAGCGGCGACGCTAATTCCGGGCCGCCCCCAGCAGCCCGGATGGACGTGACCAGATCCCGCTGCGCGATAGCAGCGCCCTCGTCAAAAGGGAAGTCATTGCGGACTCGCGCAAAGAGGTCCTCCTCAATTCGCGCCAGCATGTCAGAGGGGTCAAGGGCCTGGCCTGTCTCCGCATCAACAAGGGCAATCTTGAACGCACGCTGTTCTGCGAGACGCGCGAAACGAACCGCTCCGCTGAGCCAGGGTCCTGCGCCTGTAAATGCGCATACTGCGTTGCAGCACGGTGCCGTTGGGCCCACGCCGCATCAGCCGCCGCCCGCTTAAAGTCCGCATGCTTATCGAATGCCTGCGGGTTAATCAGTTCCTTCTCTCTCCGCCGTTGGGCAGCTCCCGCCACTACAGCTCGCGTGGCTCCCGCAGAATGGCCTAATAAAACGTACACTGCATCCCGCGCCCAAGCAGCCGCGTCCACGAAAATGCGTCTTTCTGCCTTCGAGGCTCCACTTCCGAACCAGCATGGGCGCAGCCACGGTTCACCAATGAGGGATTCGACGGACACGGCAAGTGAGTGCAGGAGTGGGGCCGCGCTATCAAGGGCCGCGTCCCACTGAGGCCCCGTGCGCCACGCAACCCTGCCGAAGCCAACATCATACCGCGGCGGACAGGAGACAGGCATTGACCACACCACAAGGCTATGATCAGAAGAAGCGCCCGGCGCCTCGAGCACATGAGTTGGTTGCACCTCCTGGTCGTTGGGCGCCAGCACCAGATCAATGCAGGTGCCAGAGGAATGCGTAGGCACCGGGGGGTTCCAGGCCAGGAGCTGAGCAGAACCCAACAGGGCTTCCATTGCACGGTCCTCAGCTGATGGGGCACAATGCGCACACCTGCACCCTGGCTCATGCTGGAGGACCTGGGACAAGTGCATATTAGCATCGCCACACACGAGGAAAAGAGAGCTCGGATATCGCGCCCTAAGCTCCTGCAAGGAGTGCAGGATGAACAACCATGTGTTTACATCGCCACCAGGAACCGAATAGCAAGCACAAAAAACGAGGAGTGGCGTGACAGCGGACGCGCTGTCATCCAAAATAGCAAACCATTGAGCCCGCGGGCCAGACAATTCCGCAATCGGCCGCAGTGCACAAGAGAGCTCCGTGCGCACGAGAACACCAACGGCCCCCCACTCCGTCGAACGTACCCCCAGCCACACATACGGAAAGCCAGACGGGAGACACGCGCCAGGCGGAAAGCGGGCACCTGGCAGCACGCAGATATCCACCCCGCGCGCTACAAGTGCGTGCCCCACGGCCTCCGTGCCTAACGCAATGAAGCCCGTTCTGCCTGGGTTGAGGATGGCAAAACACAAAGGGGGGCCGGGGTCCGGAGCAGGCGGGCTTCTCGCTGCGAAAGCTGAGGCTTCAGTCTCTGTAATGTATCCCGCATATGGGGACGCGATGGGGCGCTGGGGGGGGCCCGCTTCAAGGAGGGGTGACGCGACCTCCTCCCTAATGAAACGGCGGAGAGCATGCACGATGGTGGCGAGATGCTCGGCCGAGGGCCCCGTCTTACTTACTAGCGCCGGCGGGGGGGCAGGAGCACGGGCCCGCGCGTCCTTCAAGGCCGCGGCACGCTCGAAGGGGCGGATCTCACTCTCCAACCACCGCGTGACCGCTGTGCGCAGGCTGTCCAAGGGCGCCGCCTCAGGTTCCATCGGGCCCCTAGCACTCAGGCACTCGGGGGCGGATCCGCGCGGGCCGGGATATGTCCCACTTGAGCCAAGGGCCGCGTGGAGTCGAACCCTGGCGGTTGGCGGCCCCCGCCAGTGCTCCAGTGGACTTGGGGCAGAGGGGCAGAAGCGGAGCAGAGAGAGGGCTAGGCGGTGCCACGTGGTGCGCGCATGTCACGCTAATGACGACAACAGACAGGGAGGACAAGAGCAAGGGACGGGGCGAAAGCAGGAAGGAAGGAGGGAAGGCAGGGCACGGAGCAAGGGGGGGGCAACGACGGACGACGAGGACGACGACGACAGCAACAACAACGACAACCACCTTGCTAACAGGGGGTGAAATAAATCTCTGGTAGGGAGGATTCGATGACACCCGCCCCCCGGCACGGGTCAGCCGGGGGCTGCCCGACCGGCGGCCGGCGTCTTTGGCAGTCATCTGGCAACCGTGGTCAAACATCCGTGCACGCAGAGGAGGATCGTAGCACCGGTAAGAGCAAGTCAGGCGGGATGATAGGGCAACGGCACGAACGGGCGGGAGCACTGGCGCACGCTCTTTTTCCGCCTGCCCAGCGCGCTGGGCTCGGTACATGAAAAGATGAAGTGTTAATACTGGCAAGGCAAAGCAGGCCGCCCAATTAGCACTCAAACCCTAATCCATAAGGCAGCAAGTGCGCGAGGTATTGCGCGCAACGTCACGCGCTTCTAGGCTTCAGGGGGCCGAACGGGAAAACAACTACGACAACTACTACTGGTTGCGCACCACTCACTCAGATGCTAGACCCAACCGATCCTGACGCTCTCACTGATACCGCGGCAAGGGGGGGCCCCACCGGCCGGCGCTGCAGCGGGAGCGGCGACAGCGGCCGAGGCAGGGGCCCCAAGGGCCTGCCGGGCAGACAAGCGGGCTGGCGCAGCAGCGGATACCAACTCTGCGCGAGGCTCCGGGACGCTGGGCACTACCGACTGGACGGGCCCGAAGAGGTACAGGAGCTCCTCAATGTGTTCTGAGATAACGGTGCGGCAAGCCCTCGCCAAGACCCTGCCCGCTCCACGGTTGACGAGCTGGAACATCATGGTCTGCTTGGGGCTCAAGCTCCACGTGACTTCAACTGCGGGCTGCGTGTTATCACCCCTCGGAACCCCACACGGCGCCGGGTGCGACGGCTTAGACTTGGGGGGGAGGATGTGGACGCCGAGAGCGACCATGACGTTGTGCATGTCAACCTCTGAGTGGCACTGGGTAGCAAATGTCAGGACGAGCTTGGCGGCACGCTTGTTTCCCACCGCCTCATGGGCCTTAGCAAGCCAGGCGGTGTGAGCCGACTTCGCTTCATCCCAGGTGGACAGCTGCGCGTGCGCACGGGGGTCCACGGGCGCTCCTGGGCGCACAGCACCATCCGGTGGGCGCACCGTGCCCAAGGCAAGGGGCGCGGCCGAGGTACCGGCGGGGCCGGCTGGGGCGCCCGCGGCGCCCAGGGGAGGCACCAGCGGGATGGGCACGGCACCCGGGGCAAGGTGCACGGCCGGGGCCGCAGCCGGCGCGGGTGGAGCACCCGCGAGTCCTGGGGGCCACGGCGCAGGTTCAGCAGGGCCGGCCATAGGGCCAACTGGGGCAGCCGCTGCGTGGTCTGCCGCCAGAGGGGGGGGGGCCGAAGACAAGTTTTGTTGGGGCGCAGCGGTGGTGGCCTTGGCGCGAATGGCATGCTCATTCAAGTGGCCCCGTAATTCCTGGAGGCGTCTCAACCTCTGGGCAACCTCCTGCGGGATGTCACGAACGATGAGGTTGGATGTAGTGTGCAGCCGCACGCGGTTGCCGGAAGCAGGACTGTGAAGCTCCTCCCACGGCCCGCGGCGGGCCTGGAGCTCCTGGAACTCCCTCTTCATATCCTCGAGCGTCGGCTGTCTAGGGGGCCCGGCCGCAAGCTCCACTGGTGGGCCGGGCTGAGGGTCTCGCACGTCACCCAGGTGGTCCCACTGGCTGATTCCCGAGGCACGATGCATGAAGTAGAGCGCCCCACTTAGCGCACGTCGCGCTTCCCACCCAGGCGGGAGGGGTGGCGGGCTCGTGGGCGGCGGTCCTGGAGAGGGCTGCTGTTGCTCCCTGGCGGTGGGTGGCGCCCTCGGCGGAGTGTGGGGCATGGGCGGCTGCTGCGGCGGCGGTGGCGGCGGCGGCGGCTGCGGCTGGAGCTGCTGCAGCGCGAGCCCGACCGTTGCGCCCTCGAAAGCGGCAGCGGGTTCCCTCACGGGGGGCTGCGCCTTCACCGCTAGGGCATGATCCCGATGCACACGCTGGGGCGATATGCCAATCCAGCCCAGCGGAGGGCCGAAGACGCCGGGGGGCGGGCTGCCCGGCGGGGGGGGGCCGCAGGGGGCCGCTGGGGCAGCACTTGCACTAGCATCCCCGCCCTCAGCGGGGGCCTTCTCCGTCGGAGCAATAGATGGCACCGGGCTGCTCGAACTGGGGCTGCGCTAGCTGGCGCGGCGCCTGCGGCGGCTGGGTGTCCGCGAGTCAGCGCGGCGCCTATGGCGGCTGACAGGGCTGCGCTGGCTCCGAGAAGGCCGGCGGCGGCGGTCCCGCCCCCGGGAGCGGGAGCGACTACTGTCCCTCGGCATTTTCTGTCCTTGAGCCCCGTGGCTCCCTACAAAGCGGCAGTGGCATGAGCTTGCGAGGGTAATGCCGACATCCTCCCAACCTGCGACAACGTCACAGGCGACAGCACGTCGGCATACCCAGCCACGCTGACCATGTGGGGCATTGACATGACAACGGCGACGACGACGCCCGCCCCCTCCCGGCCAGCCAGGGGCTGCCCGACAGACAGCCGGAAGCATATGAGCACCACAATCTAAAACAAGGACGTCCAGTGGAGCACAGGACGGGGGGCAGCACAACACGGCACGAAAAGGCGGGGCAGGGCACGACCAACGATACAGCACCGGCACAGCCCACCCCCAGCAAAAAGCAAACGGCACCAGGGGCACGGCACGACGCGGCACGGCACCGCAACAGCACAGCACGGCGCCGGAGCAGGGGGCGGCGGCGGCGCGGAGCGAAGAGAAAAGAAGAGAAGACCGGAGCTGGGCACGCAACACCGCACCCCACGAGGCAAATATATGTTCACGTAGAGACAAAGGTCCAAGCAACGGGGATGGCACAGGTCAGTTACACCATCAGAGAAATGGAGGTTAACGGTGGACACCGACGGCGACGACGACGGCGACGACGACGACGACGACGACGACGACGACGACGACAACGACCGGAACCACCCGGGCCAACCTGAGTTGCCCGAGAGACGGCCGGCGATACACATGCTCGCAACATACAACAAAGACCCCATCATGACACGAGCCAGCGACCGCAAGATTGGCACTGCACGTTATGGGGAAGAACATGCTAATGTAGGCAGACGTGGGAAAGCAACTGTGACACATGAGGGCAACAAGCAAAGACAAAGTTTCTCAGGACTCCCGCTGGTGGGCGCACAAAGGGTACAGCCGAAGCACTTTGGAAAACTCACAGCAGAAGCCTGGCATATCATCCACGGCCTGGGTGTTGGTCATGTGCGCCTCCAACGCTTCTGCCGCTGGCAGATCGCCACTCTGTCGAAACTCATTGACAAGAGAACCCACTATCGCTCTGTAAGCGAGCCACGCCTTCCGCAACAGCGTAGAATAAAAGGTTCTGGCGCCCTCCGAGGAAGACGAGTCCAGTAGCTTCGTTGGGAAGCCAAAGTATTGGTTGAGAAATCTTCGTGCTCCTGGTCCAACAAGCACGTGGTAATTCCAGTCGCTCGTGAGGCGCTTGGATTTCAGGGGAAGTCTGCTGTAGCGGTGCCTGGTGTAGATCCTCCAGGCATTTTCTTACCAAAAAAGCCGAACGATGGAGCCGATGCGTTGTGCAGCGACAACATCAGCTCAGCCTTTGAGCGCACGCTATTGTCCACATTTCGGAGGGGAAGGTGATCTATGGATTCCGCCACGAAATAATCGTGCCTTGCTAAATGATCGAGGGCCTCTTCCTTAGAAAGCGACTTCAACTCAGAGTGCCGCACTTTGCTATATACCGAGTGAACCGCGAACATCTGGCAGGGGTGCGACATTTTGGCCGCCACATGCCGCATGATGTCACGCGGTCCCTGGCCTCGAAGCTCCGGCAAGTCATCCAAAACTATCTTCGCAAAAGCAAGCGTGCAGCAGACTGACAACACATATGCAAACGTCCATCTAAACTTTGCCGGCAACTTGTCCATCATCGTATCTTGGACCCCCGCACAGGGGGCTGCAAATTCGTCTGAAAGGCTGGTAGCTCGAAGTATTTGGCCGTTGGTGTACCCACTATCCAAGAATGGCAGAGATTCGAGAGACAGGCGCTGCCGATCCGGGAGATCGTAATCTGCCCTGTGCACGTGCCGGCCTCGAACCGCGAAGAGTTGAGCGAGCGCTCTCAGGATCTCCTGCCGCCCCTGTCTGGGAGGCTCGAAGGCGTAGTGCTCCTCATCCGCCTCGTCGTGCCGCCAGGCCTCCGGCGCCGGCTCTGGCCGCGCCTCCGGCTCTGGCCGCGCCTCCGCCTCGGGGCAGTGGCGCTTAGGAGGCCGGCCTGGCAGCAAGGGCGCATCGTCACTGTCGCTGAGGGCGGCCATGGCGCACCGAGCCGGCGCGCGCTGCCCTCTCTGCCCGCCAGCTGAAAAGGCTGCGGGCGGCGGACCCAACGCGGAGGTCCAAGCAACGGACCAGAGGGTGCATAGGACGCTCGAGATGACGCACAGCACTCTCTGAAACAGCCCGGCAAGGCGAGGAAAACTCACAACCGTTCGGCCGCCCATCTTTGGATGGGGGGGCGGGAACCTAGAAGAGGACAGCCCCCCTAGGTTCTCCTCTTCTAGGTTTTGCCCTGGTTGCTTAATACAATGTCACTTGCAGAGAGGGGGAGGGGGGAGGGCGGAGGAGCGCGAATGGAGGGCGGCGCTCCCCACCAGGGCAAAGCCCTGGTTGACAGCCCCCCCCTCTGACCTGCAGAAGGCATTCAGGCGAGTCGCCACCGCCGCCGCCGCCGCCGCCGCCGCCGCCGCCGCCACCGCCGCCGACGACGACGACGACGACGACGACGGTCCACCCCACCTGCCCACGGAAGCCCCAGGGCCAACGGGGACGAGCAGCGGCCGGCCCAAGGACCCAGGAACCCCGGGACCGCGGGCACCCAAGCAAAGCGACGGCCCCGGGGCCCACCCCAAGGAGACAAAACCAGAAACAACAAAGCAGACCCGGGGGGCACGACCTCGCGGGGTCATGTCTTCCAGGGTCATGCCGTACACCGACGCCCTGGGGGTCAGGTAGGGCGTAAGAAATGACGTGCACATCTGAAGTGAAGCAAAAACAGGTCGGGAAACCCAGGGCGCGGGTCCAGCCTGACAACTCACCCTACTGGGGGGCGGGAAGAGCAGACCCTGGAACAACAGACCCTGGCTCGGGTATGTTGGCCCAGTGTCGGCTAACAGTTTTTCTGAAGCAGAACCCATCGAAGCGGGGGGGGGGGAGATGGAGAGGCGGCCTTTCATGCTCCCACGACCGATCCCATCCACCGACACACCATCAGGAAGAGGTGGCAGCAAGATGTGCTGATTACACTCCAGGGCGCCTCGCCCTCACCTCCCCCATGCCTGCACAGACACTGCCATGCCCATTCCCCCATTACGCTGCACATGACATGCTTGGCTGCACTGCGGTAGCCACAACGGCCTTGCAGGACCACGGCATATGATATTACCAGAGTGCCAGTGAAGTATCGAGAACGTCAATAGCGAAAGAGCGCCCCCCCCGCAGAAGGCCAGGCGCACAGCAGAGAAGACAGCGCAAGAGGCGATACAGGGCGGCCATGGGCGACGCTGGCCCCCATGACTCAAAAGAGCCTCGACGGCCAGCCCCGCCCCAGAACCGCCCGCACTTTTGCAAAAGCAGACAAGCGCAAGCGCGAGGGCGAGCGAGACTGCTCCTGTTACCCAGCACTCGCTGCTCTACCCAATGCATGAAGGCCCAAGGGAAAGGGGGGGCAGGGGAGGGGAATGGGGAGGGGCAGGCAGGGACGGGCGAGGGCAGGAAGGAGCAAGGGAAAGAGACCAGGCGCATAGGAACCCTCACCGCTCCTGACATCAAAATGCTGCACTGCACCGCAAAGCAAGCACATGGCCCGCTTTCTGGGTGCCGCACTAGACGGCGCTCCCTCCCGACGCCCCAAGGGAGCGCTGGCAGACAACGTCCCCCATCGCTGGTACACCCAGGAGTGGAGAGACCCCGGCCCATGGCCGGCGCGCCAAGCCCGCCCCCGCCGGGACGACCAGGGGCGCCCCGCGACACCCAGACATTTGCCCCGTAGAGAGCTTACTGGGGTCAGCTTTGATCTGCGCGAGCGGGCTTGGTGGACGACGAGGAGCTCGAGCTGCAAGCTGCCGTGACGGAGCGCGTCGCGCGGGTCAAAATCCTGGCGAGCGCTGCCCGCGCCGCCTCCCGAGGGCTCGTTGGCAAGGCCTTCTTCTGGCAGGGTCGAGTAGGAGACGAAAGACGCCGGCGCGCCGTTCCAGGCCGCGCTGTCAGCGAGAGCTGGCCCAGGACAGCGCTGCATTTCGAGCGGCTGCGGACGCAGGCCCTGCAGCCACCATTGTGAGCATCGTCGGCAGCGGGGCTTTTGACCGCGTGTGGCGCGACCGCCTGGTCGAGAAGTTTGTGTCTCTGGTTCCCTTTTGTGCTGCTTTCCTGCGGTCCGTCGTTCACGTATCGGGGGCCAGCGACGCAGGCGGGCGAGGTTGCCCAGGGAGAATCCAGACCAGGCCGACACAACAAACCCGGCGCAGCAGGACGCTTTGGAAAGAGCAGGCTTGTGCGAAGACGCAGCCAGGCGAGACGCTGATCGTGTGCGCGGGCGACGTCGACAGCGTCGGCACAACTTGGAGCAGCTTTCCACGTGGCCCCCGCTGCAATGGTGGGGTTGGGCGGCCCCGAACCGG